GACCGCACCCGGCGGTCTGCCCTTCTTCAGGACCCCCCTCCCCAAATGGCAGTCAGGGAACGGGATGGGAATAAAGACCCAAGATTATTATTCTTACACAATCAGTTCTTGTTTAGTAAATCAGTCTCAAAACAAGATCAAAAATACTTTATGGCTGATATAAGATTTTAAAACTTGGTAAGATGGACAGTTTTTGCAGTGTACTGATTTTGGAGAGTTTTTTCTTCCACTCAGAAAACTTTTTTAGGCTGTTTAGAGACATAATTTATACAGTATTATTATACTTTGGTTTATTCAAACTGAACTTGCAGAATGAGAAATAGGTGGGATATAAAATTATGTAACAATTTGTCTCTAGTTCAGCTGTTTACACCGAAGCAATCAGGAAGCAATTTGAGGTTTAGAGTTGGGCCAAAGGATAGTTTAACTAAAAAGGTAAGAAAAGAAGTTCAGCATTAAACCACAAACTTTGTGATTAGGTAACACGCCCTGACCCAAGACTTAATCTAAACTTTCAGAAACCCAAAACTTTTTCATTTTTGTCCTTTGATTGATTGGGTAACAGAAGGTCAAGTATACTGGCTCCTGCCTGAAGGTAGAACCAGGAGGAAAAATGTGATTTGGCTGATACGCTCAAAAGCTTTGTGTTGCTTCAAGTTCAACAAAAATATAACTTTGTAATGAAATCTCAGCAGCACAAAGCTTCAACTAATCTCTGCCTGAGAAAGTGAGCTTTATCTGCATTTTATTTTCTTCACGTAAAAAAAAGCATTTACTGGATCTTTCAATAAAATAAATTGAACAATCAGTCTACCAAAAAAGCGCTGTATGAGTCTGTGTGTGGCCTCTCAGTATGGCACGTCTGTCAGGGATTACCAGGCAGTCTGAGCATTTTCATTAGTTCCTCGAATGCTCAAAGAAAAAAGTAAATAAATAAAACCCACAGGGGTATGGTGAAGCAGCTGCGGTAGTACTAGAGAGCCGGAGATCGAGTGTGGCACAGAGAGGGGCAATAAAAAGTAAAGTGGTACAAAACACCAGCCTGTGCACATCTGCAGACCAGTTCTACATGTTACACCACATACTGAACCTGCTTCCCTTTTAATGTTTTTGTTTTATTTATTGTTTTACTTTTTCCTTTACTGCATCAAAGCTGTGAAACAATTTTTTTTCCCCAATTCCTGTTGAGTGAAATGAAGAATGCGACTCACAAACAGCTTCTACCTGAAGGTAATCAGAATTCTGACATCTGGTCTGACGTACCTGACCACGGGCTCCGGTATGGCCTCCAGGTTGGCAGGGACCTGGACCCCCTTCTCCCACTCCTGTCTCCAGGGGTCCGACAGCACATAGAAGTCGTCTGGGCCCAGCTGCGCAGAGTCTGGTAGCTTCATGGCCGTGATGAAGTCTGTACGGAAAACCTGGAAAACCACAAGAAGCAAATATTTGTTAAATGTAATCACCTGCTGCCATTCATGCCAGCGTTTTAAACTAAGATCACTTTATGATGGAGGTATAGCAGTTTTGGTCAAACCTTGAAAAATCATTATGGTCAGATATGGGTTGGGGATGATTATCAACTGATAGAACATTCAATTTAGCCTAATATGGCTATTTTTATGTTTCGTTTGGTTAAGTTGGCTATTACAACCATCTTGAATTGGGATGGCTCTAGGGGTCGGTAAACATATCAATTCATCAATGCACTGCAATACATTTTTTCCCAATACAATATTGTTTAGAAAATCCTCTGAATCGATTCGATCCCCTGGACAGTTGGTCATGTTTTTATGTTTGCACTCCAAGTATTATTGTGCTACTGCTTTGTTTATAGAATTTTTACTTCTCAAAAATGTYACCATTTTTGTTTAAATGGGCAGTAAATTATCCACAGTGAATGCATTATTCGTGTACTTATTATGGAATTGATATTGAACCATTTAAAAGCATAATCAAATTGAAATTGAATTGTGAGGATGAGAATATCCAGCCCTARCTGGAGCCCTTGCTCCATTGATGGTAAATGGACTGAACTTACATGGCTCTTTATCACTTCCCATGGGGACCCCCAAAGCACTTTACATTACAATCATCAACACACTGATGGTGGTAAGCTCCAGCCACAGCTGCCMTGGGGCACASTGACAGAGGTGGGGCTGCCATACAYCGGCGCCACCGGACCCTCTGRCCACCATCAGTAGGCAAGGCGGGTGAAGTGTCTTGACGACTGAAGCGACTGGAATGGGGGATTAAGCCAGCAACCCTCCGGTTACAGGACGACTCCCCTTCCCACTCCACCACAGCCACCCTGATGAGTGTTTCATTAAAAYCTGGTCACTGGTTCATGAGATATTTTACTTTTGGTGGGCAATAAA